TTCTTCTTTAGAGGCCCCATCTCCACATACAGCCACTCTGGGAGTTAGGACTTCAACATATGAATTTTAAAAGGACACACACATTCAGCCTATAGCATATATATAAAGACCTTTTTAAAAGGCTAGTTCAAATAGTGATAATGCCAATGGGAAAATAAAATAAAATCAAGGAAAGGAATAGAGAACAATTGGGTCAGAGATGGTGGTTGCTACTTTAGCTTTAGACCTCTTAGAAGAAGGGAAAGTTGAGTGAAACAAATAATGAGAAAGAGGTTTTTATGGGGAGATTTGGGGAAATAAGCATTCCAGGTAGAGAGAATGGTAAGGTCAGAGGCCCAAGATGAGACTGAGAATAACAGGCTCCCATGACAGAAGGTCATTGTGGTTGGTTGGATCCTAGTTGGCTCAAGGAAGGGAGATAGATGGACGGTAGCCTTACTGTGCCAGCAATAGTCGATACCAGGAATTCAGGTTTTGTTCTCACTGCAGTGGAAAGCCATTGGCTGGCTTTAGGCTGGTTAACATACAAAGGAGATTCAAGTTAAATGGTTAAAGAGAGAAACTCAAATGAATGTCTTACCCATTTTTGGTACACACAGTAAATCCTTCAGTACAGTTCTTTTTAAGTGGAAGAATAGATGTTTTCTTCCATAGTAATTGTCTTTTTGAAAGTCGGATTTGTTAAAAGTAATTTATATATACACTCTTAATAGGGTACAATTTTACGCGGTCTGAAAAGTACACAGTAGTGGAGCCGCCAAGAAGTGAAGAAACAGGACAGTTACGTCACTTCCCAGAGCTCCCCCTGTGTCTCTGTGGTCAGCCTCCTAACCCAGCCTTTGGCATCCTTTATTTCTTTCTGGTCTGTACAGTTTTTCATTTTCCATACTGTTATACAATAGATATAAAATATAAAGTCTTTTGAGTCTAAGATCTCTCATTTAGCATAATTCATTTAAGACTCACCATGTTAAATATACCAGTGCTTCTTTCCTCTTCATTGTTTAGTAGCCTCCCAGTGTATGGATGGACCATACGTTGTTTAGCAGTTCAGTTGAAGGATATTTGGCTTGTTTCCAGTTTTTGGCAAGGATCAAAGATGCTGTAAATAATTGCATCAAGGTTTTAGTGTGAACTCAACTCTTCATTTATCTTTAGTTGGTATGTATCAGTAGGATTTTTCAGTTATATACTATGTATTTTAGCTTTATATGAAACTGCCAAGCTGTTTTCTAAACGGACAGTACCATTCTATATTTGTACCAACAATGAAAGAGAATTCCACCTTCTCTAAATCCTTGAAAGCTCTGATTGCCTTTTTTTTAACTTGATCATTCTAATAGGTACATTACATAGTCAATATTCATTTTTCCTAAACTACACAACTGCAGATTTAGAGATGTGGTAGATGTAGGTATGGATAGTAAGGAGAATGCAATGGGTAATGGTGTAACTTTTTCAACTACATTTTTTTAACCAAAAGACCCCAACCTTATAATCCTTGTTGAAACCTAGATCAATTTAAGACTCCAGTACTATAACGCCTGCTTGGATACTTGTACAGAATCTAAGCTTAAAGAATTTACTTAAATTTAAAGAATTTACTCTTGGAACCCTGGGAACATTGAAATCTAGCCCCCCTATACTCAGTGGGGTTGTCGTGGAATGCTTCTTTAGAAGGGTGACTCATGAGATTCTCTATTCAAAATATCGGTGACCTCAGAGAGATGAAGAGGCTTCTGTCTCCAAAATTCCAACCTCAGTCATAAACTATTTTTAAAAAGAAAAGAAACTAAAAGTAGTAATTGAATTCATTTTGAGATGCCAAGGGAACATTTCATGAAAAGATAGGCTCAGTAAAGGAAAGAAATGGTATGGACCTAACAGAAGCAGAAGATATTAAGAAGAGGTGTCAAGAATACACAGAAGAACTAAACAAAAAAGATCTTCACGACCCAGATAATCACGATGATGTGATCACTCACCTAGATCCAGACATCCTGGAATGTAAAGTAAAGTGGGCCTTAGGAAGCATCACCACGAACAAAGCTAGTGGAGGTGATGGAATTCCAGTTGAGCTATTTCCAATCCTGAAAGATGATGCTGTGAAAGTGCTGTCCTCATTATGCCAGCAAATTTGGAAAACTCAGCAGTGGCCTCAGGACTGGAAAAGGTCAGTTTTCATTCTGGTCCCGAAGAAAAGCAATGCCAAAGAATGCTCAAACCACCACACAACTGTACTCATCTCACACACTAGTAAAATAATGCTCAAAATTCTGTCCAAGGCAGGCTTCAACAGTATGTGAACTGTGAACTTCCAGATGTTCAAGATGGATTTAGAAAAGGCAGAGGAACCAGAGATCAAATTGCCAACATCCACTGGATCATCAAAAAAGCAAGAGAGTTCCAGAAAAACATCTATTTCTGCTTTATTGACTATGCCAAAGCTTTTGACTGTGTGGATCACAACAAACTGTAGAAAATTCTGAAAGAGATGGGAATACCAGACTACCTGACCTGCCTCTTGAGAAATCTGCATGCAGGTCAGAAAGCAACAGTGAGAAATGGACATGGAACAACAGACTGGTTCCAAATAGGAAAAGGAGTACGTCAAGGCTGTATATTGTCACCCTGCTTATTTAACTATATGCAGAGTACATCATGAGAAACCCTGGGCTGGAAAAAGCACAAGCTGGAATCAAGATTGCCGGGAGAAATATCAACAACCTCAGATATGCAGATGACACCACCCTTATGGCAGAAAGTGAAGAAGAACTAAAGAGCCTCTTGATGAAAGAGAAAGAGGAGAGTGAAAAAGTTGGCTTAAAGCTCAACATTCAGAAAACTAAGATCATGGCATCCAGTCCCATCACTTCATGGCAAATAGATGGGGAAACAGTGTCAGACTTTATTTTTCTGGGCTCCAGAATCACTGCAGATGGTGACTGAAGTTATGAAATTAAAAGATGCTTACTCCTTGGAAGAAAAGCTGTGACCAACGTAGACAGCATATTAAAAAGCAGAGACATTACTTTGTCAACAAAGGTCCGGTCTAGTCAAGGCTGTGGTTTTCCCAGTGGTCATGTATGGATGTGAGAGTTGGACTATAAAGAAAGCTGATTGCTGAAGAATTGATGCTTTTGAACTGTGGTGTTGGAGAAGACTCTTGAGAGTCCCTTGGACTGCAAGGAGATCCAACCAGTCCATCTTAAAGGAGATCAGTCCTGGGTTTTTCATTGGAAGGACTGATGTTAAAGCTGAAACTCCAATACTTTGGCCATCTTATGCAAAGAACTGACTCCCTTCAAAAGACCCTGATGCTGGGAAAGATTGAGGGCAGGAGGAGAAAGATGAGATGGTTAGATGGCATCACCGACTCATTAGACATGGGTTTGGGTAAACTCCAGGAGTTGGTGATGGATAGGGAGGCCTGGTGTGCTGCAGTCCACGGGGTCGCAAAGAGTCAGACACAGATGAGTGACAGAACTGAACTGAACTGAAGAGTGTGGCAAAATGAAGCAATGATTCCATGATCCCTAATAGGCATTTTTCTAATCTATCTTCATAATGGGGAAATAGTCCATCACTGGCAACCTGGTTTTGTGTGCATGTTCAGTGGTTAGTCACTCTAGACTTTCCCTTGCCAGTGAGATATGAAGAAGGAAACATCATTTAAAATTCTTCTGGGGAATCTGAGCATTAGGTAACTTGTGGGCTCCAGGGTATAGTCTGAGTGGAGATGGAGTGTCAGTGTTTTCAAAACCCTTTGAAAGTAATGAAAATATTAGTTGCTCAGTGGTGTCCAACTGTTTGTGACCTCATGGACTGCAGCCCACCAGGCTCCTTTCTCGGGTGAAGCTCTCAAGGCAAGAATACTGCAGTGGGTAACTATTCCCTTCTCCAGGGGATCTTCCTGACCCAAGGATCGAACTCAGGTCTCCTGCATTGCAGGCAGACCACAGTCTGAGCCACCGGGGAAGTCCTAGATCTCTGTTAAATCTATCCTTTAATAGATATCCAGAAGAATCATCCCTCCTCTGATCTGTGGAGCGCTGCTCTGGGCCAGGGGCTTCCCAGGTGGCACAATGGTAAAGAACCTGCCTGCCAATGCAGGAGACATGGGTTCAATCCCTGGATGGGGACGATCCCCCGGAGGAGGAAATGGCAACCCACTCCAGTATTCTTGCCTGGGAAATTACATCAACAGAGGAGGCTGTCCATGAACTAGGCTACAGTCCATAGCTTTGTAAAGAGCTGGACATGACTGAGCAATGGAGCATGCATCCATGCATGGTCTTGCCCGGTGTTTATCTATACCTGTTCACTGCAGGACCCTGGGAGACTATAAACTCAGCACTTTTTAGAGTCTACAGGAGAATATCACAGAGATCCAGAGCCTCCATCAGTACCTTGACTAAATTCAGAAAAATTCCTATCCTCACCTTGACCCAAATTGTCCACCAATTGTCCTTTTCTTTTCATGGAGAAAGTATTTATGTTAGTTTTTGCCTAAGGGCATGGATTCATGCCTAGCATAAATTATCTGGAACTCTCTAGAAGCTGATCCTCTTTCTTGAATGAAGAAATAAATGCAATTATGTCTGTGTAACACCAGCCACTTTTGTAAAGCTTGGTGCTACCAATTCACCTTTCTTTCAAGGAGCTTTATAATAGTGTTGCCTTAAAAGCAAACAAGCAAAAACAAGACCCACAGCTTTTCTCCCCTGTTGATTAAACATACTATTACACTCACCTGGCCTAAGAGATTTCTGCGTGGCCAATTTTATAAGAGGACTCCAAGCTGTCATTTTGTTTAGAACAGTTTATTTCTTAGTGGAATCAAAGACCATCAGTGTCTTGTCCACTCCTGTTAACAGTGAATGGGTGACATGAGGGTGGAAGTCAATCTTCTTCAGACACGCGTGGTAGCTTTTGTTTAGCAGCCAGGCGTGCGTTAGCTTCACAAATCTATGAATCTTCTTTTTTTTTTCTGTTCGCAGATTTTATTCTTCACCGTACAGTATTGCAACCAACCGCATGATTCCACAGACATCCATCACGCCATTCATTGCTGCTTCCCCTGTCTCCACATATCAGGTATGTCCGATTTACCTGCACGTCCCGAGAGGCCTTTCTTGCCAGGAGTAGACTATCTCAAGTCAAAAGGGACACCGTAGAGTTTTTAAGTTGTCTTCCCTTTAGTCACATCTTAATGTCATAATATTCAAACTATCCATTGAGCCTACACTTTCAAGAGCTTGTTTGCATCTGTTGCACTGAATTATAAAAATCCACTGTGCTTGCATCCTGCCTGCTGAGTCTTCGTGATTTTGCTGCTTTTCAGCCAGCGTTAGTACAGCTTTCTGACCACTGGGAGGTGACTCTGTGTGTTGTCTGTTATTTTGGTTGTCACAGTTCCCTAGTGTAACTTTTCTGAGAACACATTTCTGGCAACTCCGTGCACTCGCTTTAGGATGCTGGATCATTGTCATCTCATTTTGTGACAGTTGTTCTGTGTATCCATGGAAAACTACATGGATGGCTGCTAAATCATTGGCTCCAAGAAATAGGGAAAATCATCAAAGGGGTAAAAGTCATTCCTCCTTCCTCCTCTTACTTCATCCTCACTTCCAAAGAGGCCAGAAGAGACCTCAGGGGTTCCACATGTTGAGACACAAGAAAATCTGAGACTCAGTGTGTGTCCTAAACCAGATGTTGTCGCCAGTTAACGTTAAGTGCACAGGTAGAAAGAAATAGCCATCCTTCCCCTCAAGCAGGGCTCCTTATCTTATTCCTTTGAGTTATCACGAATATTTCTCCCTCCTTCTCTTTACCTCATGTAGTTCTTTAGACAGTTCTTCTAATTCTCATGAGAAACAAAATTGCCAAGAATGCTGTCTAGAGTGTCGAGTGGTGTTGATTACAGCTTTGGAGATAGAGAGCGAGAATGTGTGCATGAGTGTGTTTCCTTATGCATATGGTGGGGGTGGGCGTGGGGGTTTGGGGTGGGGGTTGTGATGTTGCTGATTGCTATGAATTCAGTGAAGTTTCACCTTCTTCATTCACTACCTATGTATGTCATGTCAGGAGGTCCCCACTGTCAGAGCATCACGCTTGAGACTATGCACATTTTTCCTTAACAGATCCCCCTCACTCCGAAGCAGATCATTTTCATTCTGTGTCTGCACTTAGGTTCTTGATACATGGCGGTGGGTGAGTGGAATAGACTTTTGTGTGGATTGCATTAGAGGGTCTCTGGATGGCTGATTTCTTAAATGCCTTTCCTTGGGACCCATGAGGCTAAGTGCAGATGCTGTTCAGTTTTTTTTTTTTTTTTTCTTCCTACAGGCCTGCCTGGTTGTAATGTGTGCTTTTTGTTTTTTTACCCATTTTTTTCAAATCTTGGCCTGTGTTTCAGCCAAGACCACCCACTGAGCCCCATTGTAGAGCACTTTGGTGTCCTGAATAAAACCTCCACAGAGCTGTCATTTCACTTGGGAGGGCCCACAAGTGGAATTTAACGCCAGCTCTCTTTTCTCAAAAAGGAATTAGAGCAATTTCCTATGTTGTTGATTCTTGCTTTTCACCACTTTTTTTTTTTTTTAATCTAAAGTTCATCGGAAGTCTCATTGATGTGAGTCTACTGAAAACAAAATCTTCAGGGCTATCTATGTCACAATCAGCTCTTAGAAGCTGACTTTCTCATTTGGCTGATGGGGAACATTCAGAACATTTCCCTGGCTCATGCACTCATTTTTAGTAACCATACCAATTACTACAAGAGAGAAAAATCACAGACTTACTTAACTTGGGTTTAACCCAAAGCATTCCCCCAAATTTCTGGTTAATCTCTCTAATTCATTCCCCAACTTTTACCACTTGGATTTATTTCCAAGATGGGATCACTTGAGAATTTGAGGTTAGAACCAATGACAGAAAAAGAGGAAGTCTTAGCAATCATGCTAAGTAATGCTTCCTTCTTTATTCGCCTGGGTCTTCCAGGATGTTGACCTCCAAACAGCAGATCCCTGAAGCCTCCTAAGACTTTCGTCTCCAACACCAGCCTCCAAATGTGCCCATGTGGCCATTACCGCCAGCTGCAGTGAAGTAGGAATTTGCTTTCATTCTATCATGTTTCAGGGACCAAATGAATCAGGTCCAAGAGTTTCCTTTCTATCCTTAGTTTTGAGCACTGATTTGCTGTAAGTCAGATGGACTCCACTTTCTTATGACCTAGTGTGACTCCACTGAACGCAAGAACCGAGTTCTCTCTGTGATTGCTTTGTGCTAATAAATGCTGTTTGATGCATAGGTCCAGAGTACTTCATGGATGCCTCATCCGCCATACGTTATGCAACCAACAGTAAGTGTTCTCAGTCACCTGAGGCTCGATGTTTCTATTATCTGAGTGCAAGCTTGTGTAACGTGGAGAAGCTCTGGGGTAAAGCTTTTGTTCTATTCCATGCCTCTTCCTGGCAGCCCTATTTTCCAGATAGAAAACTGTTCCTGAAATGCTACAAAAGCGTGTACAATAGACAGAGATAATGACAGTGATAGAAAGAGCTGAGAGAGGAAGAGAGAGGGAAGGAGGGAGAGAATCAACTTGATTGGAGGAAAGAGCAGTCAACCTCTCACATTGCTGTCTACCATTTGTGATGAAGAGGGAAAGTCTGCATGCAGTGCCGTGTGCTCTGGACAGTTAAACCCACTGTGGGAAGAAAGCCTTTCTGTCGTCCTTCTCCTTCTGTTACACTTTCTTTTCTTTGGGTGCTTTGGGAATGGTTTTGTGAATCATGGCTCAGTGTTGACTCAAAGCAACATATTTGAAATAGGAAGGTATCCATCTACAAATAGGTGCGGCTAGATAGTAGATAGTAAGGTCAGTAGATGACTTTTATGTTAACTAACCAGAGTCATTCTTTTCTTTAGTAGAAAATGTCTTCCCCAAATATTCAAACTATGTTCTACTAGCTAGCTTTTTCCATATTGTGGTACAATATGACACTAGTCCCAAAGGAAAAATATTATGTTCCATTAGAATACAGGCTGAAGGCTAGTGATTCCATGTATCTTTGTCAAGTTCTTGCATGTTTTCTAGCTCTTGAAAAGAACAGGACAGATGATTTCTAGAACGATACACTCATGAGAGTTTGGAGAAGGGGAAAGGTCCCCAGTGGGAAGTTGTGTGACAGGGTCTCTGGTGTACTCTCCTGGGTCTGTTCAAATTGTTAACTTTGTTTCCTCTCTGTCACTGAACTTAACATGGCTTTGGGGAGGATCAAAGCCAAGAGAATATATGAAAACAATGTTTAAAGTATGGCATGCTATACCTTATTATGGTCATCAATCCTTATTAGTAAATGTATCAGTTGTACAAAGAATAAGCAATGCTACATTTTAACTCTTTCCAAAGATAAATGCATATCAAAAAAAGGGAGTTACATACACAGCCATCCATTTCCTGGACTCAAAGGATCACAGCACCTGGCTTTCATAATTGAAGTTTGTCCAGTTTTTTATAAAAAGGAGCATTCCACGTTGCTCCTAGTGTTTTGATAGTTTGCTTTGTAATTTAAAAATAAAGTATATGTAGCTTATGACAGCAGATCTTTAGACCCTGTTTTGCAAATCTCCCTGTTTACTCTTAGTTGTCTACTTTGAGGGCTTCGTGAGTTCATCTGGTCTGTGTTGTGGAAATCAGACCGACAGGCAAGGAATCCAGGCTGTTCTTTTCTGTCCAAGTCATCAGGTAGAATCCAATAGATGCTGCCAGACCAGCATACAGCACAGACTGGGCCAACACAGGAAGAGGGAAGAAGCCTTGCCAAGTTCTGAAGGGACTTTCTAGAAGGAAGCAACTACCTTCTAAGGAAATAATGTGTGTGTTTAGAGTGCGGAGGCTGGCTTGGTCATCACGCTGAGGTCAAGCATCATCTCATTGAGACCTAAAGGAATGCACATCTGGCAACATCTAAATTTTTTTTCAGATACCAAAAGTGTGTGATTCCACAATACTTGGGAAGCTGTGAGGAGAAGGGAAGATTTTGTGTTTTATTTCAACTGTCTTCAGGGCCCTAGCAAAGTGTTTCATGAGCACCTCCTCCTCCCTATCCCAGCTTCCAGCTTCACCCATTTTGGGATGTATTATTTCTAGTATCTTTCCCCATAGCAACAGTTGTGTGTGTGTGTGTGTGTGTGTGTTCATTTGTCCCTATGAGATCTTCTTGCCATGGCTATTGCTCCCTAATATCCCTTCCCCTGACTAGACTCTGCGTGATGTTTGAGCTTAGGTCACCCTGTTTGAGACAGCAGTCCCCAACCTTTTGGCACCAGGGACTGGTTTTGTGGAAGATAATCTTTCCATGAACCAGTGGGGCAGGGGGTGGTTTCAGGATGATTCAAGTGCATTACATTTATTGTGCACTTTATTTCTATTATTATTACATCAATTCCATTTCAGAGCATCAGGAATTAGATCCTGGAGGTTAGGGACCCTGGTTTAAGATGTAACACTTGTGCCTGGGACAGATTTCCTAGGAACAGGAGTGGGTGGGCCACCCACCACTTTGTTGTCTTTAACTTGGAAACATTGGCTAAGCAGCACTTTGGAAACATTACTTGCACCATCAGTTGTTTCCTTATAAGTTTTGTTGGTTGTTTTATTATATGAAGAACCTTGATGCAACTGATCTTGGTTTTATCACCAGAATGGGATTGTTTAATTGCTCTGTAATGTTAATTGCTCTGTAATACTAAAACATAAAAATATGTAGGTGAGGATCTTGGGCAAAGAAATAAAACCACCTGGATGTGAAGAGAAGGAATGAATGAGTTGGTGATTAATAGCATGGATTCTTGGTTAGACTCTTTGGGAGAGGAAATCCTTTCTGACATAGGATTTTGGACAGTTAAACTTCCTGAGCCACAATTTTCTCATCTGTAATATGGACACAATCACAACTAAATTATTATGCTTTCAGTTGATTAAATGAAGTAACGCTTTAAAGCTCTTAAAATAGCACCCGACAAATATCAAACACTCAATAAATTACTGTTATCATTACTCAGTTATATGAGTAGATGACCGCAAATCCTGCTTTAGCTTAGGCCAATTGTATAAAATGAGTGTTGGTACAGGAAGAACTCGAAAAAAAGCAATAATCAGCCATGTCTACCACATTTATCCTGCTCATTTTGCACACTTTAGTAATGAGTTTGGTGAAGGTAGCCTCTGTGGCTATAAATAAGATGAATCACTTAGATCAGTGCTTCTCTGATTTACTTGCTGAATCTTTCAACACCTATAATAAAAATAAATACAAGTAATGAAAATAAAAATTAAAGGCCTACTGGGTTACCTCTTGTGTGACAGTCACTGGAACCTACTTTACAGCTATTCAAGGTGTGAATAGCTACACATCTACCATAGGTTGCCCATAATAATTTGTTTACAACTTTTCTCCTTTCTCATGGTTTTTCCTCCACAGTTTTGAGAAACTCTCACAGATAAGGCCTCTGCACATAGGGTAGAGACATGCTCCCCGAAGCTCACGGATTCCTACACTGTAGCAAGAGTCCTGCAGGTTCTGTGTAGGCTTGACTTGACGGCCCTGCGGTCTCAGCCAGGCTTGTATCTGAAGCCAGCGCTTCGGTCAAGTCTTAGCACAGAGCACGGTGCCTCTGGTCTTTTCCTACCTGGGACGGTAATGGTCTGTAAGGGAGACGTGAATTGATGGACAGAAGGGATGAGAGACTGACAGAAATCCTGAGTGTAAAGCTACAGCTGGCTTAGGCTTTCTTCTTCGGAGACTGAAATTTCTGAGTCATGTGCAGTGTACCTTTTCATAACTTTAGAAGAAAGACTCTGAGAAGCTTTTCACTTTTAAGGAAAAGGGGCTAAAAGTTTCCTTGCCTGGATCCTATCTCTCATACTGGTGTTTCTGCAAGGAAACCATTCTCTGTCTGTGTGTTGGACTCTGGGACTTGATCGGGTCAAATCCTGCTGATGGCAGTGAGAGCATTTTTACTTGCACTTTATTTCTCGTTCACTGCAAGATAACACTGCGAGACTAAATCAGGAACACACTCTTTGCTGACGTTGCCAATGCTGTCAGGTACGTGTTGCTTATTGCCAGTGGAGGGTTTCTTTCCTAAACTCTGAAATTTCGCTATGACACTGGCAGGATTTTAATAGGTGATGGATTAAACTAGATATCTACTTTGCTTGGCAGCTTGTCACACTGGAATCTTCTGTGAATGCACAATTGAAATCCCCATGTTGCGATACATCGGGTATTTTGTTAAATCTGTGCTGACAGGGAGAAAAGATGATAGCTCCCAAGAAGAAGCAGAGTTCAGTTCTCTTAAATTTTATTTAGGCCTGTGTGAATCATAAATCTTCTGTCCTTCATGTGTTTAGCATTATTTATCCTCAAGGATAAAGGTCCGTTTTCATTTTTACCTAATTACAAACAGGATATCTAACTGCTGGGTTTCCCTGATCGCTCAGACAGTCATGAATCTACCTTGCAGTACAGGAGACCCAGGTTCAATCCCTGGATTGGGAAGATCTCCTGGAGAAGCAAGGGATACCCACTCCAGTATTCTTGCCTGGAGAATCCATGGACAGAGGAAGCTGGAGGGCTATAGTCCATGGGGTCGCAAAAAGTTGGACATGACTGAGTGACTGTACTAATGTTATCCTCTCTAACTACAGGATTCTAAGAAATGCAGGATGCTTTTATGGAACCACTGTGGGATTTGTTGCTATACCTGGCTAAATTATAACACTTCTGATGAATAAACCTTACATTTACAGCTAACGTGTCAATATAAACTTTCCCTCTAGAACAACAACAATAAAAAGTTCAAGAAAGCTCCAAGAATATTTCATTGGTAACTGGTGATTAGGTAAAGCTTAATTTTAAGGGCTGTATCCTCCAAACTTGCAGACACATTTCCCCTAAAAGCACATCATCAAGTTTGGAAAGGACATTGAAATCATTAGCATTCTGTTCAGAAAGCAGTGTTTTCAGGTACTATCTTTTTATTCCAACTGCTGAGCTGAGCAAAAATTCTAACCTTCTGAGTTTCATTGTCGAAGTACCAAACAAAGACAAAATGTGTTTGCTATGGAGGGACTTTACCTGGGGGATCTACTGGCCAAATCTTTTAAAATAACTAGCAAACACAAAGCAGGGACTTTAGCCCATGTACACCATTTCTACCAGAAGAGGATTCCAAAATATTTGAAAATAAATTTAAAAGGAACATCTTCATATGGGTGTCAGCTCCCTGTAAGTAGATTTCTGGGGTAAAGTAAGTACAGACTCTTGAACGCAAAGTCTCTTTGATACCCTAAGT